CATCCCTGGCTTAGAGGGAGCATTGGTTGCAGCCACAGAGACAGATCCCATGTGGAAGGTCTGTTTAAACGTGCGGTGCCCCTGGTGGTCCCTCAAATTCTGTGGGGCTTCTGGGAAGATTCTTGTCAGACATGAACTGGACCCAGCTGGCAGTTCTCGTTTGAATAATGTGAGTGCTTGGCTCAAGCCACAAAGGTTAGGGAGGGAGAAGTCAGTCGAGCAATTAGTCTTGATAGCTCACACTAACTCAGCTGAGAGGGGACACTGGCCGCTGCATAAATCCATTTGCTCTGGAGCCCTCCTTCCTGAGCGTATTTATTTATTTATCTATCAAATTTATACCCCGCCTTCCCCGCAGAGCAGGCTCAGGGCGGCTTCCAATAACATAGATGCACGATAAAAGCAGATGTAATACAAATTAAAAACACAGCTGATTAAAAATAATACATTACAAAGTACTGGCGGCGGTTAAAATCCCGTCAGATGGAATGCTTTCAGATGGATTTCCAGCTTCCCGCGTAAAAGTACTTAGATGTTATTCTGCTCGTCGACTCTTATGGTAACTGCTCGATGATAGCTTTGCAGGCCGTGTGCTGCAGCAGCCCCTAATTATATGCCTGGCGGAAGAGCTCCGTCTTGCAGGCCCTGCGCCGAGACAAAAAGGGTGTGAGCTGGGGTGTGAGCTGTAGGCTAAAAAATGGTGAGCAAGCTCACACTGACTCAGCTTAGAGGGAACACTGGCTCCAACCCCCTTATCATCTCTGTTCTCTCCAGGCTAAGGGGGAGGCCAATGGCATAGAAAAGGAGAGGCTGGCGCCGCGGTGTCCAAAGAAACGTCTGTAACGTACCAGGGCAATGTGCAAATGAACGATTGGCATTCTTGTCAAGTGATGGGATTCTATTGCCCTCTTTTGTTCTCTACAGGGTGAAAGGAAAGGAGTCAACAAATATTACCCACCGGATTTTGACCCAGCCAAGGTAAGACACTCGGTGCGGCTGGGAGAGCATGAGTTCTGCCTTTAAGACCGGATCAGGGAATCTGCCTGTGAAAGGTAAATTGCACCTGGGTACAGCTGTGGTTTGGATGGGAGGTGGGAGGGATTTAACCCTTCCAACCCCTGCTCCATTTCTCTTTCCAATTTAGCTGTTGTAGATTTTTCCGGGCTGTCTGGTCGTGGTCTTGGCATTGTAGGACCTGATGTATCGCCAGCAGCTGTTACTGGCATCCTCAGAGATATAACACAGAAAGATGGAGGACTCTCCGTGTCGAGGTGAGAAGAAAAATGGTAGGCAGGTAATTTATATCTACTCAGGAAGGTGGGGTAGAATTTCAACAGCCAGTCCACATGCAAAAGAACCTCCTCAGGAAACAGGAAACCTCCTCAGGAAACAATCCCTATGCAAAAGAACCTCCTCAGGAAATAGCAAATCCATGTACAAAAGAACCTCCTCAGGAAACCTCCTCAGGAAACAATCCCTATGCAAAAGAACCTCCTCAGGAAATAGCCAATCCATATACAAAAGAACCTCCTCAGGAAAGCTCCTCCATAAGCATGTTTTCACAGCCTGGGGAACTCTTACAAGAGAATGACTCGGCCCTACCCCACCTTCCTGAGTAGATATAAATTACCTGCCTACCATTTTTTTCTTCTCACCTCGACACAGAGAGTCCTCCATCTTTCTGTGTTATACCTCTGAGGATGCCAGTCACAGCTGCTGGCGAAACGTCGGGTCCGACAGTGCCAAGACCACGGCCAGACAACCCGGAAAAACCACAACAGCTAATAAACTCCGGCCGTGGAAGCCTTCGACATCATATCTCTATCCAAAATTGGGGCTTCTTCCGACTGTTAGTGCTTTAAAAGGGAAGAAGACGTGTCCTTTGGAATCCTGTCTTTTTTCCTTTGAACAGATCATCGATGCGCACGATGAAATGAACAGAGGTTGAGGGACTAATCCCCCCTTCCCTTTTTACATTCCCAGTCATGAATTGTGGCTGTGCACGCACACGCACACCGTTTACCATTTGTGGACTGACTTAGGGGAGGGGAGGCGACATGGTATAGCCCCGTCTCATTAGACCTTGGAAGCGAAGCAGGGTTCATGATTTGGGACCTGAGTATATGAAGAATAATCTGATCTTGTCCGCAGTAGGTCTGTGCTATCCAGCAATCCGGACCTACAGACATTAAGGGCTTACTCTAGACTCCGATGCTGAGACCCTTAAGGAGACGTAGTGTTACGGGCCCAACCGGCTTCCGGCAGGGCTCTTTTTGTAGCAGGTACTCATTTGCATCTTAAGCGACACACCCCTAATGCAGCTAGTCCTCCGAAAGCTTACAGTAGCTCCTGTAAGAAGAGTTCTGTAAGCTCTTGGAGGATTGGCTACATTAGGGCGTGTGGCCTAATATGCAAAGGAGTTCCTGCTACGTAAAGACCCCTGGTCCGGTAACCTTGAAGCCAAGCTAGTCAAGGATTAGGAAGGGAGCGGGGGGGGGGGGGGGATGTGCCCAGTTCCCTGCAGGAGAAAGTTGTTGAGTGCAGGCAGAATTCTGTACCGCTGCATCTGAGCTGGCTGCAACAGGCCTGTCGAAAATCTACCGGGGGAGATGCTGCCGTAGCAGCGTCTCACGGTCAAGGTATGTGCTAAAAGTCCGTCTGGAAATTGGGCAGAAACTCTTTGTCTTCCCGTGGCCAGGTCCAGAGGGTGGGAGGTCCTTCGCTCCCGTCAGGCGCGAATTATTTATTTATTTATTTATTTATTTACAAGCCGTTAAGACGCTGAAATGCAGGCTGTGGAAGGTCGGTAGTTCAGCGGTTCGAGACCTGAGTGCGCCGCATGACGGAGTGAGCTCCCGTCTCTAGTTCCAGCTCCTGCCGACCTAGCAGTTCGAAAGCAAGACATTGCAAGTAGATAAATAGGGACCACTTCGGTGGGAAGGGAACAGCGTTCCGTGCACCTCGGTGTTGAGTCATGCCGGCCACATGACCACGGGAACGTCTTCGGACAGCGCCGGCTCTTCGGCTTTGAAACGGAGACGAGCACCGCAACCCTAGAGTCGGACTCGACTGGCTTTCGAGCAAGGGAAACCTCTACCTTTACCTTTGCCCAGGCTCAAGGCGGCGTGCAATAGTTTAAAATACAACAAAGCAGGGGAGGCGCCCGGGAGTTGATCAGGGAGTTCACTTGGCTTTCTCTCTTCGCTTCGCAGCATGGGTCCCTTAACAAGTACCGCCACAGCCATCCCTTGCGGGAGAGAGCCCGTAAACTCTCCCAGGGCATCCTCATCATCAGGTAAGCACACCTGACTGTGGTCCTTCTGGATGTCTGATAGCCAGAGTGGGGTGGTGGTGTTTGTGCTTGGAGCAGGGTTCCCCAACACAGTGCCCCTGGGCGCCGTGGTACCCATCAAGACCTTTTTTGGTGCCCCGCCAAGTGTTTTTAGAAAGTGGGTGGGGGTCTTGCCCAGCAGGGCTTCTGACTGGCCATTTTGTGGTTGCGCCCACCCCTCTGTGTCCGAATTCCAAAGGGTCGAAACAGTTGGGGACCCCAGGCGTAGAGCAAGGCCGCCAGTCCCATACCCATGAGGGGTTCTTCGCGGGGACACAGAGGTGATTGTCTGTTCTCTGCAAGATCCACTGATTTCCGGGACAGGCCTGCTATAGCCTAGCTTGGTTGTGGGAAGGGGTTTTGCTGTCCAGCCAGCGGAAGCCGCAGGGGTGCCTCTTGCTTCCTGCAGTGAATTCCTTTCCGGCTGCTCTTCTCTAGGTTTGAAATGCCCTATAACATCTGGTGCGATGGCTGCAAGAACCACATTGGCATGGGTAAGTGTGAGGGACGGCCGACACGGGGGAATCATTTATTTATTTATTTTGATTTATATCCCGCCTTGCTCGCACAGTTTCGCCAGTGGCTGAGACTGGCATCCTCAGAGGCATAACACAGAAAGATGGAGTACTCTCTGTGTCAAGGTGAGAAGAAAAATGGTTGGCAGGTAATTTCTATCTACTCAGGAAGGTGGGGCAGAATTTCAACAGCCAGTCCATGTGCAAAAGAACCTCCTCAGGAAACAGGAAACCTCCTCAGGAAACAACAGTACAACAGTTTAAAATAGAACAAAGCGCCAATAAATACAATATTATAAACTTTCAAATTGCAAATAAATTACATAAAGTGCAGTTGAGTGCAGCTGGCGAATTCATGTGGGGTGGCCCGATGGAGCTAGGGCGGTGTCCGATGTTGTTCTGAATGCCAGGAGCGTGGGGGCCATCAAAGTCCAGTTGTCAATAGCTCATTTCTCAGTGGCGGCTCCTAATCGAAGGCCTGGCGAAAGAGCTCCGTCTTGCAGGCCTTGCGGAACTGTAAGCAGTCCCGTGGGACCCTGATGTCTTCCGGCAGCTCGTTCCACCAGTGTGGGGCCACCACTGAGAAGGCCCTCGCTCTGGTGACGGCCAATCTGGCGTCTTTCGGGCCAGGGAGAGTCAGGCGATTTTGCGACCCTGACCTCAGTGCTCTCTGGGGGACGTATGGGGAAAGGCGGTCCCACAGGTAGGCAGGCTCCCGACCATATAGAAGAAGAAGAAGAAGAGATTGGATTTATACCCCGCCCTTCACTACCCAAAGGAGTCTCAGAGTAGCTTACAAACTCCTTTCCCTTCCCCTCCCCACAACAGACACCCTGTGAGGTAAAAGAAGAAGAAGAAGAGATTGGATGTATACCCTGCCCTTCACTCCCCAAAGGAGTCTCAGAGCGGCTTACGAACTGCTTTCCCTTCCCCTCCGCACAACAGACACCCTGTGAGGTAAAAGAAGAAGAAGAAGAGATTGGATTTGTACCCTGCCCTTCACTACCCAAAGGAGTCTCAGAGTGGCTTACAAACTCCTTTCCCTTCCCCTCCGCACAACAGACACCCTGTGAGGTAAAAGAAGAAGAGATTGGATTTGTACCCTGCCCTTCACTCCCCAAAGGAGTCTCAGCGGCTTACAAACTCCTTTCCCTTCCCCTCCGCACAACAGACACCCTGTGAGGTAAAAGAAGAAGAAGAGGAGATTGGATTTATACCCTGCCCTTCACTACCCAAAGGAGTCTCAGAGTGGCTCACAAACTCCTTTCCCTTCCCCTCCCCACAACAGACACCCTGTGAGGTGGGTGGGGCTGAGAGAGCTCTGACGGAAACGGCTCTTTTCCAAGAACAGCTCTTATCAGAATACGGCTTGCCCAAGGTCATCAAGCCATGTGCAAGTGGAGGAGTGGGGGAATCAAACCCGGTTCTCCCCGATTATAGTCCAAGCACTTAACCACTACACCAAACTGGCTTTAAAGGTTAATGGTCAAAACCAGCACCTTGAAGCGAATCCGGTCTGCTATTGGCAGCCAGTGCAATGCCTTCAGCACAGGCCGTATGTGCTCTCGTACGGAGAGGCCCATCAGCACCTGGGCTGCTGCATTTTGCACTAGCTGCAGCTTCCGGATTTGGGACGAGGGCAGCCCCGTGTAGAGAGCGTCGCAGTAGTCCAGTCTCGAGGTGACCATAGCATGGATCACCGTTGCCAAGTCATTGCGTTCGAGGAAGGGGACCAGCTGCCTAATTGGCCCTTGTGGAGGTGATGGTGGTGCAATGCTCCCTCTAAGCAGTGGCGTCTTGTGAGCAAAAATTCTACTTTGTGAGCTCCTGGCATTAAAGCTGTGAGCGAGCGATTTGGCTGCTGCACAAATTAGTCTGCTCTAGAGCCCTCCTTCCTGCGCTGAGACAAAAAACGTGTGAGCCAGAGGCTAAACAGCTGTGAGCTAGCTCACATGCACTCAGCTTAGAAGGAACACTGTCGGTAAGGGCTTCAGTTCTGCAGAGGGGCGTAAGGGGAGGAGGACTTCACCACAACAGCTAAGCATAGGGCAGGGATGACACTGTTCATTTGTCCTCTCTCTGGTCACGACGAAGGGCTCCCGTTTCATCTGGTTCACTGCTCTTCCTTACGACCCGACGCCGTTCCAAAACAGCCATGCCTCCTTGGGTGCTCTCCTGGCATCTTGTGGTAGATTGGGAGGAAAGTGGAGGAAGATGGGTTGGTTGTGAAGCGGGAGGCAGCTTTTGACGCACTTCGGTGGGTGTGTCCGCTTGCGCCTCTTCTTGATCTGGACAGATGTGGCCGCAGTCATCTGTGCCTTAGTTACATCTAGACTGGACTACTGCCATGTGCTCTACTTGGGGCTTCCCTTGAAGAGTATTCAGAAGCTGCAGCTAGAACAGAATGCTGGGACCAGGTACTGGGCACAGGGGACCCTGATAGAAGAAGAGATTGGATTTATACCACGCCCTTCACTACCCCCAAAGGAGTCTCAGAGCACCTTACAGTTTCCTTTCTCTTCCCTTCCCCACAACAGACACCCTGTGAGGTAGGTGGGGCTGAGAGAGCTCTGACAGAAACTGCTCTTTTTCAAGAACAGCTGTGCCAGAGCTACGACTTGCCCAAGGTCATCCAGCCAGTGGAGGAGTGGGGAATCAAACCCGGCTCTCCCAGATTAGAGTCCATGCACTTAACCACCACACCAAACTGGCTCTCAGTAACATGCCACTGGACTCTACATTGGTTCCACTGCTTCAGACCAACACGGCTGAACACCTGGTAAAATACTAATCTCATACACTGTACAGTTTTATTTGGGAACCCATCAGTCAAGAAGAAGAAGAAGAGAGGAGGAGGAGGAGGAAGGTCTCAGAGCAGTTTACAAACTCCTTTCCCTTCCCCTCCGCAGAACAGACACCCTGTGAGGTAGGCGGGGTTGAGAGAGCTCTTGACAGAAACTGCTCTTTTTCAAGAACAGCTCTGAGAGAACTACGGCTTGCCCAAGGTCATCCAGCAGCTGCAAGTGGAGGAGTGGGGAATCAAACCCGGTTCTCCCAGATTAGAGAAGAAGAAGAAGAGATTGGATTTATTCCCCGCCCTTCACTACCCAAAGGTGTCTCAGAGCAGCTCACAAACTCCTTTCCCTTCCCCTCCCCACAACAGACACCCTGCAAGGGAGGTGGGGCTGAGAGAGCTCTTGACAGAAACTGCTCTTTTTTCAAGAACAGCTCTTATCAGAACTACGGCTTGCCCAAGGTCATCCTGCCAGTTGCAGGCGGAGAAGTGGGGAATCAAACCTGGTTCTCCCAGATTAGAGTCCGCGCACTTCACCACGACACCAAACTGGCAATTTCACTGGCTACCGATCTGCTTCCCGAGCCCAGGTCAAGGTGTTGGTTTTGACCTTTAAAGTCCTTCATTACTTGGGATCTGAGTGTATGAAGTACCATCTCCTCCCATCTATTCCTGCCCCGGAATTAAGAACACAGGGAGAGGCCCTCCCGACTGTCCCGCCAATCAACGCAGCTTGCTCGGCGGGCATACGCGACAGAGCCTTTTCGGTGGCAGCCCCACAATTGTGGAACAGCCTCCTTTATTTACGGCTGCATTTCACTAGCTGAATTTTTATTTATTGGCAATCCCGACAGAGATTTTGAACTGTGGTCTTTTGGGGTGTTTTCTTAATAATTATTTTATGTACATTGTAAGCCGCCTTGGTGGTTCATAAATGTTTTCAATAAAGAAATAAAAACGAATAAAGTTGAACCCCGCTTCCTAAAACAAGAGGAACTAGACAGGGGGCAGGGGGGGGGGATGAGTGCAGGGTTTAAAGACCATGCAAGCCAAAACACGGGGGGTGGGGGGTGGGATTGGACTTATGTGCAACTTTGACCTGGAAATGGATTTTGGAACTCCCTTCTGTTTGCTGCAGGTGTCCGCTACAACGCCGAGAAGAAGAAAGTGGGCAATTACTACACCACCCCCATCTACAGGTGGGTGGCCTCTTCCTTTGTTTTTTCTTTGCTTTGGTATCCCCCCCCCCTGTTTTTTTTTTTAGCGATTGGGCTCCTGCAGGAATTAGTTTGCTCTGGAGCCGTCCCTTCCTGAGCTCAGACAACAATGTGTGAGCTGGAGGCTCAAAAAGTGTGAGCTGGCTCACACTAACTCAGCTTAGAGGGAACATTGGACTCCTGGCGACCTCTGGTGACTGACCCCTGCTGAGGACCTGGAGGATATTATAGCGTTGGAAAAAGTGCGGAAAAGGGCAACTAGA